CATTTCCCCTATCTCGGGTGGGTGGAACGCCTCCATCTGCCCCTGGTGGGGATCCGTCTTATTCGGTACCAAGTTCTGCCACAGCAAGCCCGACTGGAACACATCAAAATTCGTGTTGCTACGCAATCAGCCATTACTGTTCAACCGAACGACCCTCAACCAGCGGATTGGAGCGTGGGTACCCTACCCCCGCACTACCGGTTCCTGTGAATCTGATCCTTCAATGGAACATTAGCGGTTTCTTTCTCCACCTGGCTGAGTTGGAACTCCTCTGCAGCGGCGCGTCCCCTTGGGTGCTTGCCCTGCAAGAGGTCAACAACGTGACGGTGGACCAGATGAACAGAACACTAGACGGCCAATATACCTGGTCCATCAAAAAAGGGTTCAACCTCCGGAGATCCGTTGCTATAGGAGTCCGCAAGGAAATCCCTCACCGAATCGTTGATCTGGATACCGACCCTCCAATCGTCGGCATTCAGATCCAGAATCCAATTAGCATCTCCATCGCCTGTGCCTATCTGCCCTGCGGAAGGCTGCCCAGCCTGGACAACCAGGTTCGCAGAATACTTGAATAGCTACCGGAACCCAAGATGTTTATAGGGGACCTGAACGGCCACCACCCGGCCTGGAGTTGCCCACGAGCGGACCCTAGAGGCGTCACCCTCTGCGATATGTTCGAGCAGGAAGATCTGGTCATTTTAAATGATGGCGGCCCAACGTTTTTCAACGGTCGGCACACCACCACCATTGACGCCACATCGCCCCCAGAAAAAAACCCGAAGACCATGGTGGCGCTACGGGGAAGCTGATTGGGAGGGTTTTCAGCACACGTATCGAGCCCTCGCGCAGAACCAGGAACCCACGACCATCCCAAGCATCACAGAAATCATCTATAAAGCTGCTAGCACCAGTGTGTGTGTGTGTGTGTGTGTGTGTGTATGTGTGTATTCAATCTAACCCCCACTGGCTGGCACTGGTATTATGGAAAAAATTTGCTTACAACAATCCTTGATGTAATAATTTAAAGCAAGTTTAGTCTGGGAGTTAGAAAGCGATAGCTCTACTGCAGATTCAGCAACCCATTTCAGAATGCCTGGTAATTCACGTCCATTCCGAGGTTACTTTCACATACAATAAGCCCCGCGTGTAAACACTACCGTTATCATATGAATAATGGTACTGCACACACACTTCCAGATTTCGAAATCTGGCGCGTATTTAGTAATATATGGAAATATGCATTAATGATTGATTATAAATCAGATGGATCTCACCAAATGCTGCCTCCCACCAGTTTGTTCACTCGCGGTAATCGAAAAAAATCTTTCACGTTGTTTTTACAACCGGACACGACATTTTGAATCACAAGCGAAGTTTTTCATTTACACCGATTTTTTGCCTGACACCTCATTCGCGTGCATCCTCCGGAAGGCATAACGTCAGCACCAAGAAAAGAAAAAAAAAAAAACCGGTAAAACTCTTCTTGGGAGGGAGGCAAAGCACCGAAGAGAAAAACCGACCAACGCGACACCACAGCAACACAGCTACTCGAAACAAATTCGTGTCTCAGATTTTTCACGTTAATTACAATATCACTAAAAAAAAACTTCTTAAAACGTGATAGATCTTAATTTAAACTTATCCACACGCGAAAACTAATATTTTTTTTGATTTGGTACAATAAAAAATATGCGGAAAACAGATGAAATCAGCGACAGCGAAAACAAAACCAACCGTACGCGGGCAGAGCCTACTGCGTTTTTTTTTTCTCTATAAAGCAGCTAGCACCAGTATACCAAAAACTGGCTGCGTCCCCGGGCGGAAGGCACTCCGCTGGTGGAACGACGAAACCAAAAGGGCAGTAAAAGCCAGGCGAAAAGCACTCCGGAAGCTCAAACGCACCTCCCCAAACGATCCAGCAAGAGAAGAGGTCCTCGCGAACTATCACCAGCAGCATAACAAATGGCGAAACAAAATTGCTGGTCGGACTTTCTGGAGAGTATCAATGCCGAACAATCGTCAGCGGAGCTATGTAGTCGCATCAACGCCCTTAGCGGCAAGCGGCGATCATCTCCGCTTCAGATTCGAACAGACACCGTCACCATCACTGATCAAACCGTCGTAGCAGACGAACTGGGCAAATACTTCGCCAAACTATCTGGCATCTCGGAGTACAGCGAAAGCTTCTGACAGAAAGTCCACCCCTCTCTCTCCTCTGTGTCTACCTTCGGAATTCCTCCAAACAACGACGACCTACCGATCAACAGCCCACTCTCCTGGGAAGAACTCGTGTTCGCTCTCAATCGGAGCAACGGGAACTCGGCTGGACCGGACGAAATCGGCTACCCGCTGTTAAAGTACCTTCCACCCGAAGGCAAAATGAAACTTCTCGACCTCTACAACCAACTCTGGGCCGCTGAAGAATACCCGGAAAACTGGAGAGAAAGCCTCGTTATACCGTTACCGAAAACCAATGTCGGGACCAAAGACATCACTGGGTTCCGTCCCATTGCACTGACCTGCTGCATGGCTAAAGTCCTGGAACGGATGGTCAACAGGAGGTTGAAGCAATATATTGAGGCCAAGGGGCTGCTTGACCATCGGCAGCACGCCTTCAGGCAAGGGTATGGCACCTCCACCTACTTCGCCACTCTTGGGGAAGTCCTGAAGGAGGCAAAGGACCAAGGTCATCACGCGGAGATCGTTTCGCCGGACATCTCCAAGACGTTCAACCGAACATGGACACCAGCAGTATTTAAGAAGCTTGCTGATTGGGGCCTGATAGGACACATTCTTCACTTCGTCCGGAACTTTCTGACCGACCGATGTTTTCGGGTTTCGGTTGGAAACGTGCAATCCGGAAGTTTCAGTGAGAAAACCGGAGTGCCACATCTTCGTCTACGCGGATGACGTCCTCATTGTAACGGTGTGTCCCACCCTGCAGAGGACGAAACTGAGAGCGCAAGCGGCAGTCTCCTCGGTGGTCAGATGGGCTGACTCTGTTGGTTTCCAGCTTTCCGCCGGCAAGAGCGTGCGCTGCCATATATGTACCACCAGGCATCGCAACAACGGACAACCCATCATGATTAACAAACAAGCAATACCGACTAAAAACACCGTGAGGGTCTTGAGAGTGCTCCTCGATCGGAATTTATCCTTTGAGCCGCACTTCCAACAAGTAAAGAAGGACTGTCGCAGTCGGTCCAACCTGATTAAGAACATCTCCCGCCTCCACCGATCCAACAATCGTGAAATCCGCTTCCGCGTAGCTAGAGCCATCATCAACAGTCGCCTACTGTACGGTTTAGAGATTACATGCCTTGCCGCCGAGAAAGCCTTTCAGATTCTGGAACCGGTGTACAACGGCTACGTTCGAACAGTCTCCGGTCTCCTGCCCTCTACCCCGGCCAACGCTGCATGCGTTGAAGCCGGTATCTTACCTTTTCGGCTCGTTTTCACCGCAGCTACTGCTACCAAAGCCGCTACCTTTCTCGCTAAAACGTCGGGAAACAACAGGATCGTTCTTCTCGACGAGGCGAACCGACTCCTCCACACGGCCACCGACGTAGATCTCCCTCCAGTGGCCAGGGTCCACTGGCACGGAGACAAAAGTTGGCAATCGCACAAGATTAAAATTGACAGCCGAATCAAGGACCGCTTCAGGGCAGGAGACAACTCACTGGCTTTACGCTGGACAGTTGTCGAAACTCTCGGGGCGCACTACCAAGGTTATGAAGTTAGGTACACCGACGGCTCTCTCTCCAGGAGCGGAGTGGGAATGGGGGTCTCCGGAGATGGTCTGTTTGTGAGCAGATCGCTACCGACCCAATGCTCGGTGTTCTCAGCTGAGGCAGCGGCCATTCTCCACGCGGTTAAGCTACCGGCCAACCAGCCGATATTAGTTGTAACTGACTCACACAGCGTGATATTGGCCCTTACAACAGTGTAGTGGTAATTTGAAGGAAGGCATCCAGTCGTAGGTTTGAAAATTGCAACTATTGTTTACCCCTACCACGATATGTGCTCCTGTCATCGTCGACTTGACGATCTCGAGGGGACACGGGTGGGGTAGGTGCTGCTACTGTACCTTTCGACCATTGACAGTAATTGGTAATTGGCCATTGACAGTAATTGGTAATTGGAGTTTGGTAAAGAGAGATGAAAAAACCGATTTGTACCTTCCTTAAAAGTTGTTCTAGCTCGCTATTCTAATATCTATATGCAATCTTCACACTGCCGTAATCTAACGGAACTATCAACTCTATGCTTTCATCTACTCCATCTATCGTATAAAAATTACCAATACAGTCTGTTATTTGAAATTAGCATCTTCAACTATGTAAATCGTTGGCTTCACGTAGAAGTAATACTAAAAAACATATAGTCAAAGTACATAACTCTGGATGGGAGCATACCATCAATTACTGTCAATGGTCGAAAGGTACAGTAGCAGCACCTACCCCACCCGTGTCCCCTCGAGATCGTCAAGTCGACGATGACAGGAGCACATATCGTGGTAGGGGTAAACAATAGTTGCAATTTCCAAACCTACGACTGGATGCCTTCCTTCAAATAACAACTGAAGTGCGGTAAAAAATCGGTAGAACTGTTTCAAACACACAGTTGGTACTTGAGCGGGTCGGTTTTCATCTCTTTTTGCCAGTGGTAGCGGGGGGGGGGGGGCACCCCTCACCATCCCTCTCCAAAGGGGGAGTTTGGTAAAGAGAGATGAAAAAACCGATTTGTACCTTCCTTAAAAGTTGTTCTAGCTCGCTATTCTAATATCTATATGCAATCTTCACACTGCCGTAATCTAACGGAACTATCAACTCTATGCTTTCATCTACTCCATCTATCGTATAAAAATTACCACTACAGTCTGTTATTTGAAATTAGCATCTTCAACTATGTAAATCGTTGGCTTCACGTAGAAGTAATACTAAAAAACATATAGTCAAAGTAAAATAAGAACAATTCACATACATTGGAAATATACTTACACATAACTCTGAGCATCCAATAAAAAGAATAGTTTGTCCAAATATTTTCCAGTTTATCATTGCGATATATGCCCTCCATTTTGATAACACAGGAATCCATAGGAATACAGGCAATATGAAGTAAAACATTACAATTTTAGGAACTCCTTGTACTGCAAGAATGACAAAAAAAAATCAGCGATGGAGACCCATCAAAATTATCGAAAGATACTTACAAAGGTTGTATCCACAGACGACAATAATTACAACAAAGCCAGTAAAAAGTATTTTTTTATCGACTTCAGAAAAAATATCTTCTAGAAAAAATATTTTTCCCAATACGATAAACAACCAACCAAGCATAGCGAATGACAGGATAAAAAGTAGTTCGTTTTTGTAATACACATGGTAAAAATCAATCGCTTCAAGCGTTACGTCCATTAGTACGTCACATAATGTAATCTACAAGCATCAATGGTTTAAACTTTATAAATAATGTAACAATCATGTAACTGTACAAAATATACAGTACGTACCACTTTTTCATATTGACTTTCATTATTGGCGAATTCTATATCATTTCTTATCTTGTTTATTATTGTTACGTAATCAGTTTCCTTTTGAGAAATACTCCATTGGAACCACTTTTGACTAGATTGCATTCTCCATTGGTAATACTGCTGAAACAACTGATCGGCATTTTTGCGCATAGCATTAGCCACGTAAGCCTGAAAGAAGATCGAAAGGTTTAAAAGACATATTATGGACTACTTTGACTTAGAAAAAATCATGTAACTTTAGGTGCTATGAGACTGACATATACCAGCGTCAATTTGACATAAAATTGAGTCATAAAAGACGCAAAATTAAGCTCAATCAAACGTACTTTTTGTTGAGGAACGAACTTTTCAGTCTCGGATCACTTAATTTTACATGACATGTTTGTTTACGTCTCATCGTTTCTGTCAAAGATGAATTCCGTCACGTGTAAAATTAGATATTTCTAAGTGTGTACATACCTTCGAAGCATTTAAATATTGACGTGGAAGTTTACCACAATTGTTTTTCGGAATTGCTTGACCAAGAAGAGCTGATATCAAAGGTGTTACATCGGCTTGGTTAATATCCCATGAAGGGACCATAACTCCATCTATTGCAACATGATTACTGTAAAACAAAATGTTACTAAAATGTTGGATATAGTTAACTTCAGCGTTAAGCCGGATGAAACATTGAATTTGAGACATGGACACTTGAATAAATTTAATGATATTTGAGATCATAAAAAAAATACCAGGGTATTTTATTAAAGCAAATGAGTGGATCATCGTGCATTAATGTTTGTGTATGGATAGGGCGCTCATGAAAACTTCAGCTTTGATACGGCAATAGCTGGTAGTGAGTAGTTGATTGCTGAAACATGAGAGAGTCAATAGAAGGACACTGATTTTGACAAAGATTTACAAACGGACAAGATGTGGACAGATTAGTTGAGAATTCCACTACGATTAGTCGAAAAGATAGAAGGATTCAGTTTCCAACAAAGTTGTTAAGATTAGGAATTCCTATAGAATGTTGAACAGTATAATTCCGAATTATCTCACCTAGAGACGCTAGCACAATATTTAACATCTCTTGCTCTAACTTGACAGCCCCAATAGATAAAAAATATTGATGACGTTTAACGTACACACACTAACGGAATCAAAGTTGTTTATTATTTTCCTCGGGTACGAACCTCAAAATTTACGATAAATGAGTTTGACAGCGGTTTGTTACTTAATTTCTTCGGATTTTCTCAACACTCTTACATAGTGAACCAATACAACCAGACGAGATAAACTTTAGAATGCTGTTAAATTTGTATCATTTGTTAAGATGAACAAGGCCTAAGGGACGTTGGAAATATACGTTGAGAATTTCACCCCAACGTGTCCCAAACATTTCACTCCAAATTACTTGCTCGAACTAGGTTGTTTTTCATTGGGATTGTTGTTCAGATACACTAGTGATTCTGTTGTATTATCTGGGGTGTATTAGGGCCCCTGGTATTTATTATGTATATTAATGACTTGCGACGTGTTTGACGATTTTGCGACATTAATCTTTTTGCAGATGATACTGTGTTATTCATTGCAGCTAAGGATTAAGATGATGCCGTTTTACACTTGAATGAAGATTTGCGTTCTCTAAGTAGATGGCTGAAGTATAAGCAGTTGAAATTGAATACAAGTAAAACTAAATTCATGGTAATTTCACGGAATCGAGTAAATGAGAATGTCTCTGTTGTAATTGATCATGAGGTTATTGATCGCGTTGTGGGGATTAAATATCTTGGCGTAATTATTGATGACAAACTTAAGTTCAACTCTCCTATTAACAATGTCATCAATAAATTTGCCAAGAAGTATGGAATTCTATGTCGACCGAAAAACGATTTAACTATTGCCAGTACAATACAGCTATGCAAATCAATCATCTCTCCTCATCTAGACTTCTGCCCTTCCATTTTATTTGTGGCCAATGAAACTCAAATATCGAGATTACAGCGCTTGCAGGGTAAAATAATGCGTTTGATTTTGAGATGTAATAGATTCACTTCCTAAACTTTGTTGCTAGACGCCTTACAACGGTTGTCGGTGAAGCAAAGAATTGTGTATTTGACTATGGTGTTCATTTTTAAAGTAGTTAACGGTTTTCTGCCTCGATTTTTGAGTGCTTGCATTGAAAGAGGAAGTGACTTGGCCAACTTTCTGCTTAACAACTTCTCAAAAGACATGAGGAAGTTATCTCTTCAAATCGCCGTACAATCAGTGTTTGGTCCCAATTAGCTCTAATCCCATATGCTACGTGTATTCTTTAATGCCGGATCTACCGTACTATTGGAATCCAGTGGCAACTGTACTATAGGAATCCAGCAAGAACGAATCCGTACTATAGGAATCTTGACTGTATTTTGTTTGCACAGCTGTCATAGTGACTTTTTAATAACTATTGTAGCACTGTAAAATCTACGATAGTAATGAGGGATTTTTAATATTTGATTTAAAAGTAGTAGATTTATAAAAAGTAGTCTACAAAGCTTTAGCCTCGCGTGCGTATTACGGATATAGGGGACTGAATTCAAGATTTGATAAAAAAAAAAAAAAAAACAATTTTTAAGCTTATTTGGAAGATACCTTGATTTAGTAGGAAGTTTTCTGGCAAATGTTGGGGGTTCGTGAGCATTCCTGTCATTTCTGAAAATTATAATAGCATCAGATTTTGGGATTGTTACAGGATACTTTGTTGATTGTTCATTACCTCTTGATCGCTTGTAATATTTTTGAATATTTTATGTGGACAAAAAGGCGAACTAAGAGGTGGACGCCTAAGCTTTTCCATATTTATAACGCTGTGAAGCAACTGTAAACTCTAGCGGGAATTTATATCTGTGTCACTCAGGAATTGGCGAAAACAGAGGAAGCAAGTATCAAAGCTCTTTCGGTGAATTGCCCTGCATTTTGATAATTCCGCAACACCTTTCGTATATATAATGTTTAGCAGTAAGTAAACAACAAAACACATCGATGAACAACTGTTAAACGTAATGGACTTACAAATGACACAGTGTTGAACTTGTGCTTATAGAAATTGGCTGAACCTATAAAGCAGGCTTGCTCAACTTTTCTAAGCTTGCTATTTTAAATGGCTTATCTACACCTATGTTCAATATATATTGAGCTGAAATGCATATTATTAGTACTGCTATTATTTTGAACAATTTTACCTAGTGTCTTACTTTCCAACAGGTATGTACTTCCAACAATTTGGTATTTTGTAATCGTAAAATTGAACATATTTGTAGTTCTGTGGCGAACGTTTCAGCTCAATTAATCATTAGTTAACAAAGTTACATCATTTCAAAGTTGACCATTTTGTATGTATATCGACATGCGCTGCTATTATATTGAACACAACTGTTTGTTTGATGAACATGTTTCAAGCTGCATTTTGTTTATTTATCATTCGTTCTGGGTTAAAATTCATACTGGTGAATAAATTGGACTAAAATGATAGTATTGGTGAGATCCATAGACCACGCACGGTTCACGGACCGCAAGTTGGGTACCCGGATAAAAATAGCCATAAAATTACAATAAAATACAACATATTCTATTGTTGACAATTAATCTTATTGTTATTCTATTGTATTGGTAAAATAATCAAATAGTCACTACAATAGGTTTACAACAAATTCTATGAAACAAAATTTTGCACAATAAAAAAAACAATAAAATTGATTGTAATGAGATCAAATTTATTCGAGAAAAACATGATTTTTTTATGGTTACGGTAACTAACAACCCCCCTTTTCTATTTTAAATGTCTTACTAACAATATATTATATTGTAAATAACTATAAGTTCTATTGTTTTTGACAATAACATTTATTGTTGATACAATAACATTTATTGTTTTTTTGTTTATTAATTTATTAGATAAGGCTCAACCGAATTAACTTTACAGAGCCGAGGATTCTTGGTCACTAGACAATACATCTTAAAACTAAAGTCAAAAGGTACAACACAATAAACACTTTATCTTCCGCTATCCAAAAAGCCTCCTCCATCAGAACTGGAGCCGCTTCCAGTAGTTTCATTGTATGGCTTATTGTTGTACGCCAACGAGGGTCAGAGCGCATCCATTGCAGCAATGGACGCAAAACGTGGTCAGCACTCATACACTCATCACGAAACGGTTGCTTTCCAAAGCCGACGACGCATCGACCGAAAGAACTGCTGATGAAGAACAATGAGGAGGACCACACAATGGTTGATGACGAGAGCGGCCTGCTTTTGTCGACAGCCGAGTGAACACTGTAACATTCATTGTTGATACAATGCAATAATTGTAACAATAAGTTCTATTGTTTTTGGATGGTAAATTTTTTTCCGGTGGTGCTTCAACAAGCAAAGGAAATAAATTAAAAAGCTGCTTAAAAAATCGAAATCAATCTTTCATTTTGATTTAGTTTGGTTTAGTTTTAAGGGTAAGGTGGGGTTCGAACTAATTCCATATAAAGGATCTAAAATTGATGGTTTACAACTTCCTCTTACGAAGCTTTGATGAATTTTCAATTCATTTGTGACTAGAACGATTTTTTCGGAAGAGTTTTCAAAACGATTTAGCATTGGGGCAAAAGTTCGCAAACTTAATGACAGTTTTTGAGAAGTTTTGCCACTACAAATCATTAAATGTTCCATAATCATATGTTTGTGCCTAGATATTGGCAGAACATGGTGAACAACTAAATTTACTAAAAAAATGGTTTTCTACAGTAATTACAACAGGGTTGCAATTTTGCCGAGTCTTTTATCATATCCTGCTCCATTTACGATTGCTTAGAGTAAATTGTAAGTGCTAGTTGCCTCAGTTGGGAGCGATCCTGAGAATCCCTGACTACAATGGCCTAAGGGTCGGCACGCTTACCGAACTAGGTTCCACGTGGCAAGGAATGATCGCACTGGATACAGCAAAAACTCCTACAGCACTTCAATATTCTAAATTACCACTTTTTATTATCGGATTCTACAACACTTTTATTCCTCCCTACGTATGTAACACTCCCACTTTCTTAATTTCTATCTGACCTGTTTCGGTTGTCTTTCCCTTCTTCTGCGGGGCCCTTTGCAGATCCACCACCATGTTTCCTCGACGACTGCTTCGCTCGGCTCCACGTTCCACCTTCTTCCTTCTCTCCTTCGGCGGCGTTGGAAATCTCCTTCGCGCGCTATTCAACTTCTTATGCTGGCTGGGCCACCGAGTGTGTTGACGGACTCGGCCTCGGCGGTTCGTGCCGGAATTGTCCTTACTTGGCTGGAGACTGGCGTAGCCTACCGGTACGTCTACCAGGTCTACCTCAGCGGTTCTGTCTAAAACTTACAGCGGGGTCCTGCTGTCCGTTTTTTCCTCCCACTCTCTTTCACTTTCCTCTTACTATCTTCAACTATCTTCTGTCTGCACAGTAATGTTTGGTATTTTCTAGGCTTTGTCTGGTTTGAATATTTTACCAGAGACTATCGACCATTTATCTTGATGGTTCTTTGATGATAGACCTGATCGGTGTATGTAGCCTAGAAATACGTTCTTTGGGTCACTGTCCCTTGACTATTGGTCAGTAACTCAGGCCATTCGTTTTCCATCGCCAGTCATCGTGTCCGTTATGCCGTTAATAATGGCCTTTTTTGTCGTCACCTCTCATGGCCGCCTTAATGCTGCTTTTACTTCATCTGGTGGTGGGTTTTGTAGACTACGGTGGGTGGATGGCTGCGTAATACGGTAGGCTACTCTACTCTGCCCTACCAGGGAGATTTACTGACGGAGAAAAAGTGCACATATATACGAACATTACTTGCCATGATTTGATTTGACATATTAACGAGTACTCTACACGATATTCTAAAAATTACTCGACACTGAAACGTGAACACTCACAAAATAAATACGTTTTAGACAATTGTGGGTTTCGAACACGACTCGGCTCGAACTTTTGCCCACTGCACTGCCTATAATCGCATATCAGTCCCATTACCATGTGTATTTTCTTTAATTATGAAATAACAACGCTATTAATTGGCAGTGCACTTCGTAACTTCGGTGGCCATTTTTTTTTATTGCCTATTTTTATTGCCTTTTTTCATATGTGACTGATACTCTTAAGATTATCTTCAAGAAAACGCATCAAGCCTTGAAATAAAATGAAAACTTCACTACGGATGTTTTCTTGTTGTAGGCCACTAGAGTTGGTAAAAACGTTATAATTTATCATCCCGACAAGCCTATACTTTTTCGAAAACATGACCAGTTTTTGTGATTTGTTGCGAGAAAGTAAGACTCTATAAGTCTTTCCAAACAAGTACTAATACAATGAGTTTTGTTCCGTTCCCATATTCATGAACGGCAGCCGTGTTCACGATCCGCGCTTAGAAGAAAATGTACACCGTGAACCATAGTCCACGGATCTCGTTCACGAATATAGGAACAGATCTTTTTGCGAGCGGGCTTCGAAAACCTCAACTGAAAAGTGAAATTGAGCTACATCCCGTCTCCGAACGTATACTGGTACTACGTCCATTTGGTTTGCCGTTGACATGTAGTTTCAAAAGTCAGGAGAGACCTACATCGGGCTCGTTACGTCCAATCGTTCTTCGTGGTCGCGAGATGCAAGCTGCAGTGCTAAACCCCGTTAGGCAGACTATCTATGATCGGAACTGCTACACAAATCATGACAGAGTTGCTTGCTACGGGTTCACTTGGCCTGATTTGGTGAGATTGTTCTTTTTTTATATTTAAACTTCATTTCCATGAATCCGTATGTAACATCTTGATCCGGTTGGAACTCTTTCTTTTTATTTGTTTACATTATATTTCAATCAATATTCTTATAAAGTTTACCAAATAAGGTCTCAAAATTGAAATTGAGGAGCTCGGCTAGCTGGGTCGCTGATGCTTTTGCTTACTGAGTAGCAGATCGTGGGTTTACTTCCTCGCTAATCCAACATAAACAAAATAGTCGCATCGCCAGGGGCCTCATAGCCTAGTCAGTAAAAGCACGGTATTACCAAGCCGGAGGCGGCGGGTTAGATTAGAGGGAATCTTTCTGGTTTGAAATTTTCTCGACTTCCCTGGGCATAGATTATCATTATGCTTGCCACACAATATATAAATTCATGCATTGGTATTGGCATAGAAAGCTCTCAATTAATAACTGTGGAAGTGCATTTAGAACATTAAGTTTAGAGCACGCAATCATGATCCGAAAAAAAAAAATGAATCCAATGATTCACATTAAATATGGGTTTATCTACAGAGCGGATTCGATGAGAGACTATCAAAAGACCAATACTACATGACAGCTTAGAATCCAATTGATTATACTCTACCATTACATCATTTGAACTTACGAAACATCATCATTTAAACTTGTCCAATGCTCCACTCCTGCTCCCCATATCACAAAAGGAGTCTCAGTTTCAACAGGATGACCAGATCCGTGTGATCCCCTATCCGTCATTCCGTGATCCGATGTAAAGATATATGTGGTCCTTTGATCATGGTTCGTAATATTGTCAATAAGCTGAACTATCTGTTCAATACCTTTATCTACGATAATAAGATTTTCTGTAAAGAGACTTTATATGAAAAGAAAAAAAAAATTATGTCTTGGTTAAATTTTATTTCAAATTATTTTACTCACTGAGAATATGGTTTAT